CGTTTTTACTTTCTTTCTTTTCATAGGCTCGAATTCGTCATCGCAATATTGTTGCCTATATCTGTTCGTACATTACACGCTCGATTGACACTGTTTTATATCATATAACTGTCTCATTTGACGGTCACCTGGAAGATATATGTGGTGGCCTTTTAAAAGGTGGTCAGTTAATCATTTTGCCTCCTGAAGGACAACTTGACATGAGCATTTTTGCAAAAACTATCAACCGTCATCAAGTGACATATTTAGGTGGTGTACCATCACTTTATATCATGTTAAATGAATATTTTCACATGCTTGAAGCCAAAGGATCGCAAACATATGAAGATTTTTTTACATTACAACGTTTGTCATCATCTGGTATGATTTCCAGTAAACGTTATCACACTCATTATCGATTCCGTTTTGTTTCTGATATCTAGGAGAGCCGTTATCGATGAAAACCGTTTCTGATTTTGCCAAGCATACGCTTCAAAATTGTCAAATGTACAACTTCTATGGACCATCTGAATGTACAGAAGTTGCTACGCAATATTTCGTTAGTCAAAATGAGTCGCACGAAGGACAATTACCCATTGGTCAACCTATGGCAAATGTTTACATTCATATTCTTGATGAACATCTTCAACATGTGATTCCAGGTATTCAGATTGGGGAAATTATTATTGGAGGTATGTTTTTTTTTCATGACTAAATAAGATGCGTCTAGTTGAGAATTTCTGTAAACACTATTTATTCTTCATGTATTTATGTTTGCTAGAGTCCATTAAGGTTCATGTGAAAAGTTCCTTTCAATTTGTAAAGAAAACAGTAAGACAAAAAATTCAAATATATCAAGATTTGAAAGAAACTTCTTAAAGCGACTAAATTTCCATGCATATAGCAGGCATAAACTATTTTGTAGTTTCTACTCTCTAGAACCAGATCTTTACTTCTTTTTTCGTTGTTCTTTGTTAAAAAATCAGTGCACAAGGAGATTGTGATACTTCTGAGGTTAATTGTGTTTATCATGATTGAGATTCTTATGAAGATTTAATATATAGTGACAGGATGTTGACTTTTTCAATTCATACTTTTGGTGGACAGATAGTTTTTTGAGTACGAATGCTTGATAAAATAGAACTTTCTCGAAAATTTTTAGATAAAAAGTAACAGAAAAGTGTTAAGATACTCTAGATGATTCTAAATGGGTTTGTAAAATATCTTTTACGGATGTTTGACGAACGTTTTCATCAAAATAGCTGTTTTGTCAGCTGCTAGAAAAAGTAAAAAGTGATGGACACGGATACTGAAAATCGAACTTCAAACCTTCAATATGTCGAAATGGTATCCAATTCGTCTCTAATTTTTCTTAGCGGAAACAACCTGAACGAATTGAAAGTGCCGCCCAATAACTACAATTATATTGGGAAATGCAAAAGTCTATGTTCAGTGTCAAAACGTCCGACATACACTTGTTGATGTTGCCACAATTTTACATCTAAAACTATGCTGTGATTTGAAGAAAGTCGAAAAGAGCTAATAAGACTTGTGATAAAATTTTTCGAAGAATCTTGATAACATCATACCGTGTAAGAACATGTCTATCTCAATCAGATAATTACTAGAACTGATAATAAAGACAAAGGAAAACAGTTAAGCAAGATCCTGTCGATCTGTTTTGAGAATTTGACTAGAATCTTGGCTAAGTCAGAAATTGTGAGATGTATCTAAGAAAATCATAAGAACTGTCATTGGCGAATGTCTACATACCTTTCGCCAATATACACCCTGGACATTCGTCAATTGGCGAAAGTCCACATGATTTTTATCGATTTCAAGGATAATTAATCAATGAAAATCTAGAAATTTTGATTTTTTTTAGATTAAATTGAAGATTATAATCGATTTCCTTGGATTATTGATTCAGAATCAAAAGTTTTTCATCAATTATCATCAATTTTTTTCATTGGAATCGAATATGATCGATTATAACCAACTATAATCAGTTTGCTACGATTTTTTATTAATCAATTAGAATCAATTTTTAGGAAAAATCAATTTTAATCAGTATTTGATGATTTTTCGATCGTCTAAAACCAACCATCAAGGATTATAATCTACTAAAATCGATTATAATCATTTAAGTAAGAATCGTCTGAAATCATCCGATGCTGATTATGATCTAAACAAAATCGATTAAGTGTTCAAATCGATTACAATTATTAACATAAGAATCGACTAAAATCAACTGATGCCGATTATAATCTACCATAATCGATTAGTTTTCAGAATCAATTATAATCATTAGACTAAGAATCGTATGAAATCAACTAATACTGATTATAATCCACCACAATCGATTAGGTTCTCTATTTTCTAAAGATGAAAATTTTCTTTATCGTTATCTACATGAGTGGATAAATTAAAACATGTTATGAGAGAAGTAGAATACAAGTGAAGAGAAATGAATAATAAATTATTCAGCGGAATGATGAAGTGTGATAATGAAAAAGCGCAGTTGTGATTATTAGAAAAAAAAGTATATGAGACTGGCGAGCCAGGCTGATACTCCAATTCTATTTTTGTACGTGAAGCTTATGTAATATATCAGAAAAATATGAGTTTTTTTACCGATTATAGTTCTCGTATAATGCTGATGATCT